AAAAAAAAAAAAAAGAAAGGAAGTACACAAAATATCCCTGAGCAACATTAAGAGAAACCAGTTCCAGATTATAGAACACAACGGATCCCACAAGTGACGAATACATGACGAATGTGCATTCGTGAGTCATTTAGAAAGTGGGTTAGGCCGAACAACAATGTGAATCTCCAAGCATTAATTCATTTGGAGTTCATCTCAAATGAGCAGTTAAGTAAAGCATGGTGAAGACAGCATTCTTTAGGACGGGAAGCATGGCATTGAAAGAGGACCATAATTGTTCAACCTTGTCAAATGGAAGACACCACACGGCCCATTTCAACACCCCACCAATTATGCTTAACACCAACATAGTGTTAACCAGTTCTAGAATATCACCCAACAGATTTTTTTTGCAAAGCATCAATCTCAATATCGGTAAGCACAGAACTCCATATACTGAAAAAAGGTGTTGCAAAAATGAATGAAGAAATGAAACAAAAATGTTCTTATACACATATCGACGAAAAAGGGAAAAATTCAAACAGCATTAACATATAAGAATGAAACAGACCTTTCTGAAGACGCAATTCTCCAGCACTTTGCTTCTTGCCCAAAGGCTTTCCGTTAGCACTTTCAGCAAGTTCTCTCTGCTTTTCCTTGACTTTAAACAACTTAATCATGGTGTCTACATATATAATTCAGAGACTATATTAAAAATATCACGAAAAAAAAAAAACAAGGCAATATAAACTTGCATTTCAGATAAGAAACACTCTCTGTCATAACTTGACATAAACAACTCAGAAGTTCTCTCAATCTTGCCCACGTTATCCTTGTAAAATTCTATCTCACATTTAATCGAGTTCGATCAACAAAGCCAGCATTTACTTTAAATAACAAAAAAATGAATTTCAAAAGTGAGGTATAATTTAGAAAAATACACTAAGAGAACAATAGGCAGGAAATTTAAAAACAAGAAAAACATAATAAATTTTTTTTATGCAAAAAGCTACTATGGGCAAATGAGTTGGTATATTCGACATTCAAGTTCTTAAAAATACCATGCAACTACTGATAAACATGAATAAGATCGAAATATAGTTCAGATCAAGATAGCAAAGCAAACCACTTAAAATAAGTTTCCCAATCAAAGCTATTATGAACAAAGAACTCCAAAGAAAAATTCCCGGCAAACATTTTCTCCGACAGCAGAAACAATACCAACTCACAGAGTATTTATAATCTAATAACTGGTAAAGTCTGCAATTCTCCAGAATCCAAACCTCAAGAGTATCAGATAGACAACAACGATAACAAGACGAACATCACAAAGAGCAAACAGCAGGCAGAAGCCTCTCTATCCATCAAATCAATTTCAGGGAAATACAAAAACAATATCCAAAAACAACACAGAAAACAACCACCATGAGCTCCTACTACACCATCGCACACAGAACTCAACACGAACAGTCGTATTCAGCTCAAAAACATGAGAAAATCCACAAAAGAAAGGAAAATATCAAGAAATTGAAAAACAAAATCAATAAATACAGAACCGAATTCAGCTAAAATCGAACGATCTACCGGGAAACCGAAAGCCTGTACATGGAGCAACAACTATCAATCGTTACAGCACACAGACACCTTGAACTACGTGTTCCGTTGAAAACGTTCAACGTCGGAGGCGAATCCATACCTGTGTAGACGGAAAAGCTGAAAGAAAAAGGACGGCCGTGCTAAGCTCGAGGGTTTCAGATCTGCAGAGGCGTGCGCACTCAGTTTTTTTATCAAAATGGATGATGAGAGAGAGAGAACGAAAGAGAATATAAATAAAATGAGAAAGGGCGATGAAAGAGAGTCTCTACAAAAGGGCAAATTCGAAAGTTTTTATTTATTTATTCTTTATATTGCATTTTTTTTTTTTTCATTTATGCCATCTCACTTATCATTGGTTATAAGAAAGAATCTCCTTTTTCGTTTATCGGCTGCAATTTTTCGACTATTACAAGGCGGGGGAGATGTTACGGTCTCGTACGAAATAATTTCATGAGATTTGTTATCATTAGATCATTATGTAACCATCAGAAATAGTTGATTTAACGATTATAAACTTCGATGAAATGGTTTTGTAACAAAATCGTAACATTTTCCTTAAATATTATCAACGATCCCAATAATTATTTATCTACTGGAGTAAACCACTTGTGTATTATATTAATAGTAACAAATTTATATTTAAATACTGTATAAAAAAATAAAAAGGAGAAAAATTATTTTAAACCTAAAGTAACTGTTAAAAAATAAAGGGGTGAATCAAAACAAAAAAAAAAAATGTGGTTTCTAAGAAAATAAATAAAAGTATTTAAATGTAAATATATTGAAAAAGAGATAGAAAATAATCGTAAGTTTAAAAATTTATAACTAAAAAAAAAATTGAATGTAAAATGAAAAAGTAAAGGAAAAACTTAAATCATGTATTCGAATAAAATAAAATGTAACTTATATATTATTAAACAGAAAACAACGTACTTCTGTGTAAATCGTATCTAATAAAATAAACACTTAATACCTATATATATATATTAAGTTTTAAACAGGTTTAAATAAATTAATTAAATTATTTAGCAGGATATATATGATATGGTTTATACTTTTTTTAATGAAGATTGCATAGCCAAATATAATGGAGATTGTAAACGCCTTTATTAATAATCTATAGCGTTATTATTTTAAGATTGTAAATTACTTCATTTAATGAAGGAAAAAATTGTGTATGTTTATGCAATCAATTTCGAATTTGTATTCTATAGGATTAAACAAAACCTAAATATTTAAAATATTCCAATCCGATTTTATTTTGAATTACAAATTAATATTATCTAACTATGTTTTATGTTTAAAAAAAAAATGAACTAAAGAAAATAGTAGCCAAAGGCCATGAGATTTTTAAATTTTAATTATAAATTTGAAATTGGGCCGATTTCTATGCAATCCGATTTTTTCTAATAAACATGATATGTTACAATTAGGTAAAGATATTTGTTATAGTATTTTATCTACAAAATTCTCGATTTTATGGTAAACAAATTTTTTATTGAAAAATGAGAGAATTTTAACTTTTACAAAATTGTCATGCCGAATTTTAACCCTATTTCTATGCAATCCTATTTTTTAATCAACAATTGATATGTTGCAATTATGAAAAGATTATGCGATATTATTTTGCCTAATTCGAAATTCATGATTTTATGGTAATCCCTTATTTTTAATTAAAAAATGAGAAAGTATTTCGACTTTCGCAAAACTGTAAGCATCAGTCAAAATTTACCTAAATCAAATCCATAAAACCCATAAATTTAAGGTCCATATATAACTGCTCGATATTTTGGGAATAATTCAAAAAATATTAAAAAACTGCCAAAAGTATAATGCAATGAATGTTGAGGTTGACTTTTTTTGTTACTATATTAAGTAAATAGGTTATCTCTTTATATATGTATAGATTACTAATTTTTAAATAGTATTCAAAGACGGGCCGGTTCACGACCTGGCCCGACTGGTCGGGTTGGCGGACCTCAAATGCTAGGCCCAGAATCAGCCTGGCTATATCTAAGGGCCGGTTTAAATGAACCAGCCCGACCCAAAGGTTCGGTGAACCGCCAATTTTTTTTAAAAAAAAAATAAAAAATACACTATGACCCGAAACCGACTCGACCCGGAGGGTAAAAAAGGACTAAAACACTACAATAATTTTTAAATAACATTCAAAGGCCAGGCCGGTTCATTTCCCAGAGGTTCGTTGAACCGTCAGCTTTTTTTAAAAAAATAGAAAATAAAAAATACAACTATGATCTGAAACCAACTCGGCCCGGCAGGTAAAAAAGGACTAAAACACGACCCTCAACAGACCCTTAAGGGGTTTCGGGCCGTTCAAAAACCGGTTTTACCGCGCCGGTTCTACCCCTGGCCATGTCTCTATAGACTGTAGGCCATATAGATAATGCTACAATAACATACGATTGACATAAAGTGATGTAAAAAAAATTATGTTAAAATAGCATCCCTTCCTATATATTAATTAAAAACGTGTTGAGTTTAAATGACAGATTCTCACGCTTCGGATGCTGACATGGCGAAAATCTATACTTTGTGATGTTTTTATATTATTTTTGCTCTGAAGTTAAGTTTGGTATTAGATAAATAACTTTATACATATGCTCATTAACTTAACACCCATGTTGTATATGAATATTAGTACCCATATTGTATATGAATATTAGTACTAATTATTCTTTATAATAAAATACCAAAGTAGAACAAAGTCAAATAATCTCGAAGTACTGCAGATCACAAGTTCACAACGCAATACCAAAACAAAAA